TAAATAACTTTCAATTTCATATATTTTCAGAATTCTCCATTCGATTTTAAGATGCTGAGATCAACAATGATGCCACGGTGATTTTCAAACGGCTAAAAATTTACCGCGAGTAAAAACTGACGTCACGATTTCGAAAGTAGGGACAGACCATAGCAAAGTTGCTATATGATGAAATACGATTGGAACTCAGGAAATATTAGTTATTCAATTATTCATAAATTCTCAATTTTGTAGTGGTTATATTCCTAATTAGACATAAAAATCAATTGTCTCAAAATATTCCCTCATCTGTTGTGGCTTATTGTTTATAATACATTTGTGTTAATATTCTGATATCATTATATTAATTCACACTAGAGGATATTTGAGGGTAAACGTGACAACCCGCCGCACGAATTGTGGGCGGTGCCTTGTCAGCTCTCAGCATTCACCACATTGTTGCCAAGTAACATGATATTTTGTTATAGGGTACAAGAGATATACAGACATGCTGGTTGCTCGAAAATGTCAAGAATGATCTCTAATATCATGGCTTACTCTTATTATGTTTTATCTCGTGTTTTATCCAACGACAGGACTCTAATCTCTGTGATAAATTGATTATAATTAGTGACTTGACAACGTTGCTTCATGAGTAGAAATGAAAGATTATTTTTGCAGTATCATTGCAGAGAAAAGTGTTGTTTATCTGCCTGCCTCGTGTTGATGAATTGATGAATTACAAGAATATATCGCGTTCCAGTTACGAATGTTGGAAAAATTATTCAGGAATGTTTCAGATTCAACATCCATGTTTTGCATCTCATGAAAATCAGTATTAATTTTCATGGACTTCGATATTTGATGTCATGTTTATTTGCAGATCTCAGAAGCAAAGTGTTGATACTTGCCACTCAATCGGAGAAAACCACTCAGTCAAGACGAACCGAACAGAAGATCCGCAAAGAGACCTGACCACAGTATACTTCATAGAATTCAGATCATTATATTCGTACGGAAGGCAATATATTGATTACCTTTTCAGATTCTCAAGCAGACAGATAGACAGATATTCAGCTTTATGTCTCTATGGAAACACGACAGGTACCCTTGAGAGGGGAGAGTATCAACTCGGCGTTTATAAACCCTCGCTGCAAAGGAGGTAGACGCATGGTGGGTTGGGTATATACAGTGTTCTTCATTGCAGAGAAAATTGTTGTTTATCTGCCTGTCTCGTCTTCTTTGAGATAGTTGATGAATGGATGAATTGCAAAAATATATAGCGTTCCCGTTACGAATGTTCAATATCCAATATTCGATGTAGGTCTCATAATTCAAATTTGAAATTGATCCTTAGTTTTAGATCCGAGCGGCACATCGTTCGGCCTTCAAGGTCCTCAATATAAACCCACGTTCGTAATTGAAGATGCGGAAGATGCCTACTGGAAAAACACTATTCGGAAAGAAAGCGGATATGTAGCAATCCAGTTACGGACGTTGAATATATTATTCAGGTAGGTATGTCTCAGAGGCAACATCCATGTAATTCATCTAATGATATTTTTTTTTGATATGAATGTACTTCGATTGATAGGGGATGTTCTGTTGCAGATCAGAGAAGTAGTATTTGATACTTGCCACTCAATCGGAGAAAACCATCCAATCCATACGAACCGAACAGAAGATTCACAAAGTGAACTGACCAGATTATACTATGGTGACTAGTTATGCTATATACTTTTGGTATATTATGATTTGATAGATAGTCTGACATTGATGTGATCGACATCTTTATAATATAATTACAACCACGATTACAACTATAATTTGTATCAATTGTATCCACAATTTGGTGACCCCGACGTGATATTATAGAGCACTTGAGCGGAGGCGAGATCATACAAATTTTAAGACATTTCAACATCCATGTTAGTGATTCGATGGAATTTTCGGATATGAAGGGAATGCTGACAGAGTACATTGAAAAAAACTTTTAAGGACCAACTCCACGAAGCCGACTACAGGAGCATTCTTTCAGAGATTTATGTTTCGAATACTATTTTTACGAAGAAGATCGATAGACTTGAAGAATTGTGCGAGATTCTGTTATTTTCATCAATAAATTATTTGGAAATGACTTTTTATTCAAGGGAGGCGGAAAAATCATATGTATAACATGGGGGTAAAGTATATTCTATTCTTCATTTTCCTGCAATTTCACGTATCACTTTTCATAAGCCTACTTTTCGTCCTAGAATTAGTCACTCCATAAATTTTTCTCCGAGTTGGATTTCCGAAAATATATTTAGCACACATGACATGGGTACAGTTAGTTCAGATACCCACATCGAGGTTTTCACCATTTCTCAATCATAAGTCTCAGCTCATTCAGCTCATAGTTAAACTACTGAATCAGCTTGAAATCAGAATTCATTTAGTCAATTCAGTCAACCCTGGTATACTTACAGTCTAAGAACAGTCTCTTTTGGTGAAATATATTAAGCTTTTAGTACAAATTATATGTTCCCTACCTCACAAAGATCATGCTGGAGTAGTAAACTCTAAAACTAGAGGATTGTTCAATTATTATATCTTGGTATAGTTGAAACAGGAATTCCATATGGAATTTACGTATGATACGCCAATGACCTCAATATAACCTAAAAAACAACAAATGTCAAAAATCTAGTGTTTATCCCCAGAATTGAATAAGGATGGAACTATACAGTGTGTGTGTGGAGTTTGTCAAGGCCAACTATAATGTGAAAAAATATTTTGATGAAATCTATTCGTTTTTGTTTTATACGCAAAAAACAGATTTTGATTATTTTCATGTCTCCTCCGTAACTTCTTTATTTATGAAAATATTCAAATAGGAATTTCACATTCTCATGGCAGTTTTTCAGAGTGAAATAAGAAATTTATATCAACTCTTCTAGAATTTGAGATATCAGCACCAACTTTAGTTTTTCAAATGTAGGTCATAGCTCACTATGACTTAGTTACAATTAACTTTTTTTTCTCTTACAGATGATATGTCGCAGTAATAGTTTTGTGTTGATAACAACGGAGTTATCGTCATTTATACAAAAACAAGAAATTATTTGGAAGCCGCCATCTTGAATTTATGAATTTCAACAAAAAAATCATGATCTCCGGCCTCAAAAACCCCCACTTACCAATTTTGAATGGAATCGGACCAAATCTTGTCCGCCATCTTGGAGCAGCCATTTTTTTTTAATTTCAACAAAAATTCCATAACTCCGATTAACTTGAAATTTGGCAGGTATTCATAATTTCGGTGACAGTACATTATGTTTTGTTCTAATTATTCATAATTTTCATCATACCATTAAAATGTAATTGTTGAAGTATTTATCATTGTTTTTGCAAAAGTTAATTTGGCGCTTTCTGAATAATTTGCGAGCATTGTCGGCTTTTAGATACATTTCTACTGGAACCATTGCTTCTAGCGACTTGGACAAAGTATACCTTTCTTAAGTATAAAAGAAGGGATAACAATTTTTTTCCGTCGAAAATGACATACAGTGTATAGCAGAAAAGTTACGACCGATTCAATAGGGATGGAACCGTGTATGTAGCGCCCTCTATCAGTCATCACAAAACTGAGATCATATTTGAATTTAGCAAGATACAAAACCCCTGGTATTCCACATTTTATCCGTTTCTTGCGTCTCTGGCTGAAGATATTCAGCGAAAACCCAAAAAAAAATTAAATTTAACACCCCGTATCTTTTAACCGAAGGCCTTGCAGACCCATGTTCATATAGGAACTTTTTTTCTTATTTTAGTATCCTATATTGTGTGGCACTATGCAATGTACTTTTTTCTATGTCACCCTGTATATGTGATATATCCGGGAAAAAAGTACTCACTTTTTTCCCGTGGGAAGAAAGTCATTTATGAAAAGTGTATTTTATAACCTGTCAACAGGGATGAAATTTCAAACTTTTTTCCCGTCACAGAAAAAAATATTTTTTCACTCTGCCATAACATATTATGTTGTCCATTTTCAGCAAGGATATGATCAGCTAATTTAGATTTGTCGATATGTCTTTTCATATGATACTGTATTTTATGTTTTGTCCTTACTGAGGATGGTCTATTTGTTTCACCTGTATAATACTTTCTACAAACACACTATGAATACAATTTTTTGATGATTATTCTTCATTTTTCGGTTTTGTCCTAGCTATGGTATTTCAGGTTTTGAACACAGTTTTCACTTGAGATCACTAACACGTTTTATGTTTTCAGATATGCCGGGAATGTAGGTATGGAGGAAAAATGTTTTGAACGCAGTGACATATTGGGCCAGATCATCTGATTTGTCCTATTACACGCATATTGAAATAATACTCATATTTTTATTTTATAGGAACGATGCATGAGGGAAATTCCCAAATAATCAAGCACAATGAATATACCAGTATACCACCTCCTCGATTAACCTATTTTCTGGGTTTACTAACATCTTATCTGAGATAATCCAATTCTACGTTTCGCTTATTCGCGGGAATCAATGTTACCAGGTGGCGCTCGGTTTTCATCGTTCCATGTCAAAGCCACGTCAAAACTGGGGGAAAACAAACTCAATCCTCAGTCAATCTCATTAGTGCTATTAGCTTGTGTACTGTGTACTGATAAGAGTGATAACCACGTGATAACACTTTATGTCATTGACAAGTTTGACAAATACAGCTTCAGCAAGATGTATGCAATGTAGTCTATGCACTTTATCCATATACAATAGTTTGTTTTCCCCCAGTTTGAAGTTCGTATTATGTAACCTAGATGTCGCCCACTTCGTGAATCTCGCGATTGTATTCTAATTTATTTCAGGAGACATAAAAAGTAGTAGCCCAGAAGGAAGGAGATGTGCTTTCGGACTTTCATAATAAATCGGATGGAAGTTTTGTATTTTGATATCCTGTACCAATTCAAGTATTCACTCGCCCTGTAATTATCATCCTATATATTCGACAAACAAATGAGTGACAGTTTATTTAAAAATGTCAGTCGAACTGATATGTGTCACGTTCTTTTACATTTTCACTTTCTTTTACACTGATTATATGGTCAATTTTCCATTCATCCACAAGTCATTCAATATCTAAACAGTACACAAAATGGTTTACCCTCATTCCTACAGAACAGAGCACAGCGAGACAAAAACAACAAATTCCGTTTACGGAGATTACTATGCGGCGATGAAGAGCAAAAAAATCAAGATTCAGCCGAATTTGTTGACGATAATCCAGTACATCGACTCCTATCGGTCACAATTTTTGGACGATCTGGAAGAAGCTGTCAAAATCAAATCCATCACGACGGATCTGAAATACAGGGATGAAGTTAAAAATATGATCAAATTCACGGAAGGATGGTTGACGAAACTAGACATGAAATACGAATGTTTCAATATTGGGTTTTACCAGGTAGACGATCAAAAAGTCCGACTACCACCTGTCATTTTGGCTTCATTGGGAAATGATCCCAAGAAGAAAACTGTAAGTATTGATGTACAGGGAGTCTACTATTTGTGTACAAATACATATAATCAATCTCAATCATTTTCCAAGATGATAGTCTGATTTCTTTCAAAAAGCATTAAAAACGAACGGCTTATATTCGAAATGCTAATTAGATGAAATATCAGCTGATACGAGAGCGGTAAATCGACATAAAACCCAGCGAGCACAAACATCCCTGGGATGTTTTGAGATGTTTTGAAAATGTTGACATGGAGATGTTATTTTGAGACGAAATATGCACTGACCAAAGTGGTCTTTGAAGGATATTGAAGTATTGTTTTTGTTCTTCTGTGGCATTTCTTTGTTTGCCTACTGAGAGGTATCCATGGGATGTTTTGGGATGTTTTAGAAATGTAGGCGCATGATGATGTTTTTTTGAGGCGTAATATGCACTTCCCAAAGAGGTCTTAGAAGGATATTGAAAGTATTGTTTTTGTTCTTTTGTGCCCTTTCTTTGTTTGCCCCACCACAACGTCTCATGCTTACGTCACAATACGATGAATTCTGATTTGTTTTCGATTTTGTTCTTCTTTTTCACAATTGGCATTCGCGTTTGCAGCGTGTCACGCTTACATCACACTGCTAACGAACAGAAAGGAATTTGGTGAAGTTTATTGTGTTAGAAGACTTATTTAGTTTGTAATAATGACCATCAGATACAAGATGTGTTGTTCGGTGCCTCAGTGTAATCAATATATAAAAGTACGAGTACGAATTTATCAATACACAGCTTCTTCGCAGTTGCAAAATTATGCATTGTGGAGAACATTTTACAAATTGGGAAACCTATTTCCAATTATATGTCTGTGTGTAGTAAGCACTACTCAGAAACCGCTTAAGAAGGTAATTTCATATCAAGAAAATATTTTTATGTTCAATCTATTTTTAAAGCATTTTTTCATTCAAGGGAAATGGAATCCTAATGCAAAAGTTCATTTTGACGAAAGGCTTCAGAATAGTACATCGAAAATGTTTTTTTTACAGCGATTTAATGTGCGCAAGACACGTTGAAAATGTTTTGTTGTGTCCATGAAAAGGCTTTAAAAAGAACTAGGGAGAAGGTAGTTTTGTGACATATCAAGGACATCTCGATAATTGACGCCTGCGGCGGACATTGGCTGTTCTACAATAGTCCTATTCATGTGTGAACAGAACATCGCAGTGGAGGTTCAATGTCTCGAAATCTGGTACTTTCAACATCTCTGAGATGTTTTTGTGCTCGCTGGGAATAAACAGCCTCAAAATCTCCGTGCGCATTATGATAAATACAGGTGTTACAATAAGAGACGAGGCTGAGAGGGATAGAAAGGTTGTTATAGATATGTTAAAGTTATTCGACATGCAACAAGTAATAACAGAGCCAACAAGAGTTAGCAGAACCAGCAGTAGTTTGATAGATTTGATATGTGTGGAGACTGAACTCAATGTAATTAAATCAGGAACAATGGAAATGTATAATATTACTGATCACAGACTTACATATTGTGATATACAATTAGAGATAATAGTGGAAATACAAAAACATTTAACATATAGGGAATTTAAAACATTCAATTTGGATGCATTCAATCATGATATGCATCAGATTGAATGGAATAGCTTATCTGAAATAGAGGATATTAGTGAGAGAGTTAATTGCCTAAATGATATGCTTATAGCAATTTTTGATATACACGCACCCATGAAGACTATAAAGATAAAGCACCCACACAAACCATATATCACGGACACAATAAAAGAAATCATCAAACTTAAGAAAAAGGCATATACTAGGTTTAAAAAGACTGATCTACAGATACATAAAGATTACTATTTAGATCTGAAGAATTATCTATCTATTGCTATCAAGCAAGAAAAAACTGCATACATGAATCATTAGTTAGAAATTAGTAGATTTAGCAAGGACTCTAAGAAACTATGGGCAAAGTTCAATAACTGGGGTATTACTAACAATAAGGTGACTGACATACCAATCGAATTGAGAAATGTACAAAAAATAAATGACAAATTCTCAGATCTTGAACATCTCATAACTCCTGTCACAGAGAATTTTATAAATGGTTACAAGAATAATAAATTTCAAGAAAATGTAAACTTCAATTTTTCAATAGTAACAAATGATGAGGTGGTGAGTGCTTTCAAACAACTGAGATCAAAATGTATGGGGATAGATGAAATAAGCTATGATATGATAGAATGGAGTCTGCCTATAATTGTGGGAACAATCAGAGATATAATAAACATGTCCTTGCAAACAGGTAATATACCATCTATATGGAAATTTGCGCTAGTGAAGCCTATACCAAAAATTAATCACCCAAAATCATTTTCTTCCAATATTATCAAAACTATGTGAAAAAGTTGTTCGTAACATGCTGAGTGAATATGTAGACACTAATAACTTATTGCCACAAATACAATCTGGTTTCAGAACTAAATTTAGTACGTCGACAGCACTCCATAAAGTTACTACAGATATAGCTGAGGGGCTAGATAAATCAGAGGCAGCTTGCCTAGTTTTACTTAGATTATAGTAAAGCTTTTGACCTACTAAACAGGAAATTGTTAGTTGCCAAATTGAAATTCATGGGTTTCTCAGAAATAGCATGTTTGTGGTTCACTGACTACTTGACAGACAGACAGCAAATTGTTGAAATTGATGGAGTCAAATCAGATCTTGTGACAATGAGGCATGGAGTACCACAAGGTAGCATTCTGGGACCCATACTATCCATTCTATATACAGCCGATTTATCTACAATAGTATCAAATTGCAAAGTCCATCTTTATGCTGATGACACGCAATTAGTTAAAACTTTCAGACCTTCAGATTCGAGTTATGCTCTTCAAGAAATCAATGATGATCTGGAGAGAATATATAATTGGTCCCGAGATCACGGACTTTGTTTGAATGCTGACATGCTAATAGGGAACGCGGGTTTGATAAATAGAGTAAATCATTTCAACTTCACAACGATACATATCCAAAACAAAGAAATCCCACACAAAAACATATGTCGGAATCTTGGTGTTATTTTTGATTCTCAACTCAATTTTGAAAAACACGTTAATAAGAAAATTCAAATTATGTTCATGAAACTGAAGTCATTGTATAAATTCAAATTCATCCTCAATGAAAAAATCAAGTATAAATTAGTTGAGACTCTCCTTTATCCACAAGTTGACTACTGTATGACAGTGTACTACAGCTTCCTGACAATTGAACTTAAAAATAAATCACAGTTGGCTCAGAATTCTTGTATGCGATTCGTATACAACGTAAGAAAGTTTGATCATGTTACTTCTATTTACAATGATAATAAACATCTTAAAACAAATTACAGATATCAAATGTTTTTTGCTGTATATATTTTTAGAATCTATACTGACGAAAAACCAGAATATTTGCATAATTATCTTATCCCAAGAAATGAAATTCATGATCGACAACTTCGAAATATGTGGAGATACGATATTCACCAACACAAAACATCAAAATTTGAAGATTGCTTTGCTCATCTATCAGTCAGTTTTATGAATAATATCGATAATTTTGATATGTTGCAAGGTAGGTCATTTGTTTCTTTCAAAACATTATTCAGGGATAGTTTATTAGCAAGACAATCCAATGAATCAAACCATCTGTGATAGTTTTAGAATGATATTAATGTGTATATATATTATTTGTTTTTGTTTTTATTTTTCATTAATTTTAGATCGTTTTTATGTATTTGATATTAGATTTTTGTTTTTTGTAATTATCTTAACTTGAATGTACCTGGTAAAGGGGGGCGTGGAAGAACGTGTTTATGCGAACGTACCCCTCTTGTAATAATTATATTATTGCAATAAATATTTTTCTATTCTATTCAATTCTATTCTATTCTATTCTATTCTATTCTATTCTATTCTATTCTATTCTATTCTGTTCTATTCTATTCTATTCTATTCTATTCTATTCTATTCTATTCTATTCTATTCTATTCTATTCTATTCTATTCTATTCTATTCTATTCTATTCTATTCTATTCTATTCTATTCTATTCTATTCTATTCTATTCTATTCTATTCTATTCTATTCTATTCTATTCTATTCTATTCTATTCTATTCTATTCTATTCTATTCTATTCTATTCTATTCTATTCTATTCTATTCTATTCTATTCTATTCTATTCTATTCTATTCTATTCTATTCTATTCTATTCTATTCTATTCTATTCTATTCTATTCTATTCTATTCTATTCTATTCTATTCTATTCTATTCTATTCTATTCTATTCTATTCTATTCTATTCTATTCTATTCTATTCTATTCTATTCTATTCTATTCTATTCTATTCTATTCTATTCTATTCTATTCTATTCTATTCTATTCTATTCTATTCTATTCTATTCTATTCTATTCTATTCTATTCTATTCTATTCTATTCTATTCTATTCTATTCTATTCTATTCTATTCTATTCTATTCTATTCTATTCTATTCTATTCTATTCTATTCTATTCTATTCTATTCTATTCTATTCTATTCTATTCTATTCTATTCTATTCTATTCTATTCTATTCTATTCTATTCTATTCTATTCTATTCTATTCTATTCTATTCTATTCTATTCTATTCTATTCTATTCTATTCTATTCTATTCTATTCTATTCTATTCTATTCTATTCTATTCTATTCTATTCTATTCTATTCTATTCTATTCTATTCTATTCTATTCTATTCTATTCTATTCTATTCTATTCTATTCTATTCTATTCTATTCTATTCTATTCTATTGTATTCTTCAAAAAGATAGATCTAGCGGAGACTGACATACCTGTCGCATTTGTTACAACGCAATCGAAACAGCGGACGCATACATATGTGATGTGTTAGTTCGCCAAGGATGAATCCCTAAGAAAATTCAACCGTCAGTAAAATCCTGGGATTCATTTGAAGTTTATAGGCTTAGTGGACTAGCAGAATCAGATAGGGGTAATCACAAAAGATCTTCCAGTTCTCAATGATTGATAGGTTTCTCAACCATACCATCCAACTACAATCTACAATCTACAATCGCTTCAACCAAGTGACCATTTTGTCCGAAGGTTTGTGCATATCTTCACCTGGACGTCCCAGATCCGACAGGCCGTGACTGGGTCACCGATCCTTGGACCCTCACCCAAAAGAACACGAACTATTTCGGCAATGGAGCCGCTTGCGGCAAAGGTCCATTAATGGCCTGGTTCCACGTGGTGCAGGCTTTCAAGGGTTCCAACATGCCGCTGCCCGTCAACCTGAAGTTTGTCATCGAGTCTATGCACCACGAGAACAGTCAAGGATTCGCTGATTTCGTTGCCACCAGGAGCCAGGATTTCTTCAGCAGCGTGGATTTCGTGGTCCAGTGCGATTCCGAGTGGCTGGGGGAGAAGTATCCTTGTATCATCTATGGAGCGGTGGGTGAGTCATGCATTTGTTGTTTGATAGGCATGAACCCAATTCACTTTGAATGTGTAAACTCTACAAAAATTCAACCATATTATAATCCATTGAATCAACCAAATATTTGATTGAATCAATATCTTGTTATTTCGAATCAAACGAAATGATTGTTTGAACCAATTCAATATCTATTCATAAACAATTCATGGATGTGCTTGAATGAATAACAGCATCCAGAGTTCATGCAAAACATATTTACTGATTCAAACGTGATTCAAACTTATAATTCGCTCTGAAACAAGAGATAGATTTTCTCATTTCAAGACTATATTATGTCGTGCATATATTTATTTGATTGATTGATTGATTGTCTTTATTACCCCAAGAAACATTTCTGTTTATGATAGGGATACATAAATACATATAAAAAAATAATATTTATTTATTGAACAAATAACTTCCAGACAGAATAGGCTCTGGTATAAGGAAGTACATAATTATATACCTTTAGGTAAACATATCATTATACAAAATATATCAACAACTGTAAATTGACAAACAAAGAATAATATTTGTAAAAAAAAATGGCATGTTCAATTTTATCCAGTTCGCTCAGAAATAATCAATTTTTTCACTTCATTTTTGAATGAACCTATGTTTCTGCAATTTTTTATATTGTCAGGTAGTTTATTGAATTCAGTTAAGGCTGAATGAGTGAATCTTTTTTGTCCGATAATGGAGCTAGCGGCGTCAAGATGAAACAAGTTATATCGTCTTGTTTCATGATTATAAATTTCAGAATTCCGTATCAACATAAAATTCGACTTCAATTTTTTATTTATGATATTATATGATATTTTGAGAGTTTCAATTCTATATATTTCATCTAAAGAATACGTATTTGTTATTTCAAACAATTGATTGGTTGGTGTATCAAATGGGAGACGATACAATACTTTTAACGATTTTCTATATAATGTTGATATTTTATTGAAATTGTTCTTTGAACAAGTTCCCCAAACATTTATTAAATAGTTGATACGACTCAGTATATGAGAGTAGAGAATCATGTTTGCAATTTTAATATCAAGTTTGGGACATCTTCTCAATGCACCAATAATTGGAGATATTTTTTTTGTCAGAACATCAATATGTTTGTCCCACTTCAACCTGTCATCAAACCAAATTCCAAGATATTTTATCTGGTCAGTTTGTTTTAAGAGTTCATTTTTCATATTAAGGTTGAGGTAAATTTTTTGTTTATTTTTTTGGTGAAAAATCAAATATTCTGTTTTTTTAGTATTTATCGATAAAAGGTTAGAGTGGAGCCATTTTTCAAATATTTTCAAGTCTTCATTTATCATATTTTCTAAATTTGAAGGATTCTTGCTTTCATATAAAAGTACTGTATCATCTGCATACATGGTATATTTACTCGTGAGACCAATTTCACTGATATTTTGAACATAAAGTAAATATAGTATAGGTCCTAAAACAGAGCCCTGTGGGACACCCTTATTGATTAATCGTTTATTTGACACAGAGTTGGTTGATTTTGTATTGATTGTCCTATTTTCAAGATATGAATTCAAAATATTTCTCACAGTGCCTCTGAGTCCCATTGTTTCTAAGTTTTCTAAAAGTGTTGTATGATCAACTGTGTCAAAAGCCTTTTTGAGATCAATGAAAACAGCTACCACATAATTTCCTGAATCAAGTCCTCTCTGGATTGATTCTATCACTTGTAATACTGCTGCTTGTGTTCCACTGTTTTCTTGAAAACCAAATTGATTAGAATCGAAGCTATATTTTTTGTTGATGAATTCTACAATGCGTTTCTTGAGAATTTTTTCAAAAATTTTAGAAAATATGCTTATTAAAGCTATTGGTCTATAGTTAGTTGGATCCTGAGCATTTCCATTTTTGTAAATAGCTCTTACTGATGCATGTTTCAATTCGTGTGGGAAACTTTCTTTTATGAAAGATTCATTGATTAATTTTGATATTGGTGTAGCTAAAATGTGTCTCAATTCAAATATGTCTTTAGTAATCAAACCTTCTGGATCAGAGCATGTCTTTTTTAAATCATGGATTATAGAAATGATTTCGCTTTCATCAGTGGGAAACAGAAGCATTGTGGAATCATTATATTGTGGACAGACATTTTGACGTGGAAGATTATTATAATACGATTTTATTTCCTCTGCTATATTGATTGATTGATTGTCTTTATTACCCCAAGAAACATTTCTGTTTATGATAGGGATACATAAATACATATAAAAAAAATAATAATAAAGGGTTAACTATAATGAATTCCACTCAGTGGAAACGAATTAATATAATATTCTCACCAATACAAAATGATGATTCATAATGTTTGCTATTTCTAGATCATTATTGACAATATTACCATCAATTTTTATTGATTCAATATCACTATATCTGTTTGATTTTGTGGAACCTCTCAAACAATAGTTTATCGTATCCCAAAGTTTTCTTTGATTACCTTCAGAATTTTCAAATTTTCTATTAATATGTTGCGCTTTCGCTCGTTTTATCAGAGCATTTACTTTATTCCTCTGTATTTTGTATTCATCAAAAAGTTCTTGATTACCAAAATTTTGTTTATAATATGACACTTATATTTGCTTCATTCAATTCAATTTTGCTTGATTCAACCATTCCTTTTTTTCCGTGTACATAAATTACCATGCATAAAAAGAACTATGTATATATGTTATACATATCATTGTTATTATTCAATGATATTTTCTCATCAATGTTCAACAGTGGTTTAAATGAACTGTATAAGGCAAGAAATTGCACTGGATTCAACATTCATTTGTAGTGAAGATAGTCAATATTCCTTGCAGGAATTCTTCATTTTCAAGTGACTATTGAGAAACAAGAAAATTCAAAAACCGAGATCAAAGATGATATGATAAATATTTTCAAAAAAATCGTTGACGACGAAGGTAAAATCACCATCAAGGGATTCCATGACTACGTTGAACAAATTACGCCGGATGAGGAGAAGATTTATGAAAACATTCAAGAGTTTGATCCAGAAGAAATACGGTAAGCCGTTCCAGAGAAACACACAATGAAACATACGATGAGAGGTTGAACTCTGTAAGATTACAGTAAATATCATGTATATAGGGTGTATCTAAATAACATCGACAAAATTCAAGGGGTGATTCCTTGTGATATTTTGATTGATTGATTGATTGTCTTTATTACCCTAAGAAACATTTCTGTTTATGATAGGGTTACATAAATACATATAAAAAAATAATAATAAAGGATTAACTAATGAATTCCACTCAGTGGAAGCGAATTAATATTGTGTCTTATAAGATTAACGTTATATTTCATTTCTAAGTAATCAAATCATGCCACATATTTTTGATTCAAATTGTCCTGAGCAAGTATTTTTTAAGATTGATTTTAAACCTTCTTGCATCATGTATATTTTTCAACTCATTCGGTAATGAATTGTATAAAATTATTCCATTGTGAAAAACAGATTGTTTGTCAATGTTTGATTTGAATGTATTTGCTATCAAGTAATTCAATTGTCGAGTCCCATAATTATGGACTGTATTGACTTCATTGAAAGCTAAATTTGATATTTTCAATTTATTCCTGGCAAAATGAATGAAGCAACATATTTTGAGTTTATATAACGAAATCAGGTTCAGAAAATGTCTTGGTTTGTATAAATTTATCGTTGGTACTAGAAAATGTAGATGGAAAATGCACTTGATTGATTTGTTTTGTAATTTCATTAGTGGTTTCAGACGTGAAATATTTGTACCCCAAATAGAAATTAAATATTGAAAATTTGAATGAATGAGGCAAAAGTAAATACATTTCAAGTATTTTATGGGACTAATATTTCGGATTTTGAATAAAATGCCTATGATCGGATTTATTCCATTTCTCAAATGGTCTATAATATGTTTAGTCCATAATAATTTTTCGTCGATGTAGAGACCTAAAAATTTTGTCACGTCTGTATATTTAATCAATCTATTGTTGAAAGTTATAGCATTATTCGAAATATTAACTGATCTTTTGGAAATATACATTCATGAAGATTTGTTATAATTAAGAGTCGACTTATGAATTTGGATCCAAGATGATATGTTTTCCAAATCACTTCTGTAATATCCCGTTCGATATCATTTAATTCTTCCGATATATAAATTAATGTTGTATCATCCACAAATCATTTTGGCTTTCCTTTCAATTTCAGAGTTGATATTGAATTAATATAAATTGAAAATAAAATTGGTCCCAGAACTGATCCTTGCGGTACTCCACATGTAATATTCTAGTGACCCAGAAAGATCATTCACTTCAACATACTGCTTTCTATTTGTCAAATAATGTGTCCTTACTTGCTTCGTTTTCAAGATTAATATTTCCATGAAAAATCTTTCTTCTAACAGGTATTCATTTCTCAATTGCCTTCTCATCGATTTCAATAAAACGTTGTAGTTTAGTTTATAGTGATATGGAGCTTCTTCTAGTGCAATTAGATTCGAAATAATATTTCCAGTGGCGTCACAGTGGGTAAATTTATCGATATGCATGGTGAATGTCATTTCACGCCACCGGTTTTTCTGAGTTTCATATTTCCATAAGATAAAACTATTGAAATAACAACTTTTCTATCCTTTGTGTGATTCTTGTATCTAGCTTATATAGTTTTTGGAGAAACAATAAAAAATCGATTTGACTCCAAATTTTGATGTAGGTGATTTCAAGACTTCCATTGAGATTACTGAATAACCCCGATAAGAATCATTTCTCCATCCATACTAAATTTTAGCACCATGCAAGCTTATACAGGGGGGTTATAAATAAAAACAATAAATACTTCCTACTTCAACATCCTGTATCTCAAAAACGGATGACATCAAAAGTTGCAGAAATATCACCCAATTCAAAATCAAAGTCAAGAAACATATCCTCTTGCAAAGAGAAAATCAAACCTGAGTGAATGATTTCTCATTGACTAATTCATTTCATCATGTCATAATGTACTTTTCATGAGCTTTCTGTTTTATTCATTTTTTTCATATTCTGTTGTTTATTTCAATAACTATAATTTAATTTGATAACGCATGAATAATCTCATACCAGATATGAATCTGTCTGATTATTCATGTTATTCCATTGTTAATGTTAATGATTATATTTATATTTATATGAGATGCAATGTAATGTTTATAGCAAAGATTGAAATAAATAAAGATAGTGTGATTGAAGATAACATGTTTATATGAACTATATTTGCTATCACAAAGAAACACCCATTAAATTTTTTCGGTGTTATTTAGATACACCCTGTATATGGAAATATCCAAAATACCTACCTCGTGCGTATTATTAGAAGATAGGTTACCTCTAAACAATAACCGAACTCTCGAATATTGAACCAGCTTAACAATATTATTAATCTGAACATGTGCTTGCTAAATAAATATATTATATCAAATTTGAGCACGCCTCTCGAAATCTGTCTGGAAAGAAACAATGGTAAACAAGTAACAGAATTCAAATTTCACATTCAAACCTCTTTCATTCCACTGGGGTAGAAATTTCAGATGTTTATTTGCTAAAAAAATCGAGTTCTACGCCCATGGAATGATAATCTTCATAACACCCTTCTAATTTGGAACCTGTCGATCGATTCACAAAAACAAAAATTCCATAATATAGTACTTAGCGAGCTCTATTCGCGAATATGAAAAAAATTGGAATATTCATATTTTCAAAGCCTACTTTTGTTTCTAGAAGGGGTCAAAATTTCAAAAACGACTATTAGTAATTTTTTCGAAACTGTGACTATAGCCTAATCGATTCAGGCATCGCTGAAATACTCCCATACAAAATTTGAACGCGAAATCTTATATAGACCAGCTGGGTATATAGTGGAATGAAATTGAAATCCATTGAAAAAGGAAGAGAATATAACAAATATGAAAGGAAATGAGAATTACTGGCAATCTGAGGTCTTGAATTGGAATCGGGTGAGCTTTTAAGGGTAAAAAACTGAGCATCCCGATTTCAGGCAAAAGTAGAAGTCCTATGGAAAAAACAGAGTTTAAGGTGATAGAGAGATCAATAGCTTTTGTTTTAACACTCTTTCCATATAACCTGAAAATTCATGTGAAAAATTCAAATAACCATGTTTTTGATATTTTATTTTCATTTTTCACAAAAAGAAATTTTTCTTCACGAAATTCTGCCGGAAATCGGGATTATACGTTTTTTCCTTAATATATCACCCCCTTCCACTTCCCGACCTCACATCGCCCGTAATTTTCTTCTCATTTCATCTCTGTTATATTCTCTTCCTTTTCCAATGGGTTTCATTCTACTATGATTATTTTTTCACTTTTTACCGTTTTCAAAGGCTTCAGCACTGGTCTATGAGGTGAGTTTGCTTGCAAGGAATTTTTTTGGTCTGAGGAATAATATCATTGAGGTAAGTGTTTGTAAAGATAACCTGTATATTATAGAAGCTAATTCAATTCATTATGAAAATATCACGTCTTCATTATTATTACCCCAAGAAATATTTCGATGGTTCATCACAGGGGAAACATCTATATAAATATATACAAATATTATTTCTGAGTTGAAAAATCGTCTTGGTTTTGGTAAAATATTGTTATAGGTATCTTCAAACCCTCAGTTGGTGACCCTGGGTCATTTTGACCCTTCGAGATTTTGAATTTCGCGCTACATGAAGTCGGTTGGTGGGACTGATCCGTGCATCTCAGTAGCTTCCTGAATGTCAATGGAGAGTGTGTCAGTGCTGTGATATCGTTCCTCGTAGCAACAGATATTCGCCAAGTAGGTAAGCTAGGGTCATTTTGACTCCACATCACTAATTATCATATCAAATGGGCCAAATCGACCCATGTTCACCTTATAGGCTAATCGTCTGAGATAACTGAATTTTGCAGGTTATGGCGGGCCCTTCACGGGATATCAGTTATTTCGATACAAACTTCGAATGTACATTTCAGAAATGGTTAGACGAAGCAGACAGTGACGTAGATGATACTCTGAAGGATTCAGATGAACTTGTGAGTGAGCATGATTCCAGAAGCGAACAATCTGCAGATTCTGACTATATAGAAAATCCAGAAGATTTTGATGAGCTTCGAGATCGTAACTACGATATTGCCGAAAATGAATGTGCTGGAGACAATGTTCCTGAAACTAAGGATATTGACGATTCACCAAACTCTGGTACCGAAGATAATGAAGATGATATCCCTTTATCAGAATTATTGGCTAGACTAACTTCCAATAGAAAACATTTCTATGGAAGAAGAAAATGTTTCAAATAGTCCAAGGTGCCTCCATCAGCAAGAGTTCGGCATGCTGCACATAATATTGTTGTTACTCAAAAAGGTTTGCAGGGACGTGCCAAGCAGTTGGGTAACAAACCTGAGCATAGAGAGGTTTGGCATCTGATATTCACTGATGACATGAGAAATGAGATTTTACATTGGACTAACCAGAAGATTGAAGCTTTCAGAATGAATTTTAGTCAGCCAGATAGACCTGAATTATCTGCTCTAGATATAGTAGAATTCGACGCATTCATTGGCTTACTGCTCTATACGCAAATCTTCAAATCCAATCGAGAAGATCTACGGGCACTATTTTCTAAAGATGGAACCGGAATAGATGTGTTTCGTTGCACAATGTCAGAGAAACGATTCCTGTTTATTCTAGCATGTCTCCGTTTTGACAATCCAAACACTAGGAATGAAAGAAAGGAATCGAATAAAGCTGCAGCGATATCGTACATTTTCGAAACTTTCGTTAGGAACTGTCAAGAAGTATACTCTGTTAGCGAAAACACTTGCATTGACGAGATACTGGTTTCCTGCAGAGGTCGTTGTGGCTTCAAAATGTACTTTCCGAAAAAACCAGCTAAATATGGTTTGAGAATCATGGCTTTGACAGATGCTGAAAATAACTATTTTTACAATGGATATTTGTATAGTGGTAAAAATGGTTCGATACTCACCCAACAGGAAAAAAAATGAGCATTCCCTCGCAAAGTGTGATAAGACTAACCAAACCCATCGCTAAGTCAAACAGGAACGTCACGGCCGACAATTGGTTTTCTTCCGTAGAAATCGCTCACGAGCTCAAAAAAATAGGACTCACGTATGTAGGAACTTTGAGAAAAAACAAAAAAGAAATACCGAACGAATTTCTGCCTGTAAAAGGACGAGATGTGGAATCAAGTGTATTTGGATTCACTAAAGATCTCACGTATGTACCTAAGAAGAACAAAGCCGTTTTGCTCATCTCTCCAATGCATCATACAACCAATATTGACCAGAATACCAGAAAGCCTGAAATTATAATGTATTATAACAGCACCAAAGGAGGAGTCGATGCCTTAGACCACAAATGTTCAGTATATTCATGCGGACGTCGCACGAATAGGTGGCCATTGGCAAATTTTTTTCGAATCATTGACATATCTTCAGCTAATTCTTATATACTCTACGGACTCTATAGTGCAACATCTAATGAGTCCAGGTTTAATTTTATAAAAACACTCGCACGGTCCCTTGTGCTACCCCAAATGAACCGGAGAATAAAAATACCAAACCTTCAACGAGAGCTCAAACTGACGATAGCAAGAATAACTGATACGCCACTGGAGGAACCACCAAATGTCGACACCAAACGTGACCAAACTCTATAAGAGGAAGAGATGTGCTTTATGCCCATCCAAGAAGGACAAGAAGACCTCAAATGCTTGTGGGAAATGCAGAAAGCCCATTTGCAATGACTGCAGCAGACATATTTGTAAAGAATGCTTGTAGAATCATGTTTTCATGAGACGCCAGAATGAAGATCTGAGTTTTTTTTCTGCGGAATATATTGATGCTAAGATTTTTTTAAGTTCATAGCCTGATTTGTTTTGATGTGTTCAGACCAATTCAAACTATTTTTTGCGAACTGCTTCCATTTTCTTTGTATTTTTTTAAATAAAGTTGTATAAAATCTATATTTTTTTATTTCTCTCACTTATGAATTTGTTGAAACATATTTTGATGACATGATGCCTCATTTCAAGAGGAAATGAAGTGTTTCAAGTAATTGAAGGCTACCCGGAATAGTACTGAATAGTAATGAGACAACAAAAAAAATCAAAAAGAATGGGTCATAATGGACCCAGTTCACCAGTTATGTTTGTCGAAACCACATCACCGATTGAGGGTTAATGGCAGATAATCGATTGAATGTTATCCAGATTTTTCCGTTGGAAATACTCGGATTTTGAATAACAGTATCATGTACATTATTTTCATTTTATAGAGACTCGCTTCCTGAACACAAAAAATCCTGGGACAAGGTCAAGTTGCTAATGAGTTTTTGGCGTCTTCCTTCGATATTCGTAGACGATATCGAAGAATGCATATGCGAGAAAAAAGACACGTCCGTAGTAAAGAGAAATTTCATCCTCAAAATCGTGCCCAAGCAAGTGGTCGATAGAGCTGAAAGACTTATAAAACAGCAATTCCAGACCTCAGCAAAAAAGTTGAATATTGAGAACAAAGTTACATGCAAAATGGTGGCTTCGACTAGGCCTTGGTTTGAAAACTATAGATCGCCTAGTTTTGCAGCTGCACGAAAAGCTATCATACAGGTGAGATAATTCATACTCTGCTGAATAAAAACTGGTTTTTTCTACAAACGCTTAACAAAGTAGCCTTTGACGCTTTCAAATTCCAGCACAAAGTTGACGTTTTTCCAGAAATGTCATTCTTTGACAGCATTTGCGCTCGTGAGCGGAAATATTGAAAAAACGCTCGCACATCTCTGTAACCTATACTTATCTATTCTTGAAAACCCCCAATTCTTTCATGATGGAAAAAAGTGACAGTGAATCATCAAACACACCTCCTGATGATATAGCAGAAAGCGCAAGAGTTTGAATCGGAGAAATCAAGGAAGAAATATGAATTACAATATGATACATTCATAAATTGGTGCCACTCCGAGATGGTGAATATGTATTCAGAAAACGTTTTACTGGCTTATTTTGGTAAAAAATCGAAGACTTCGAAGTCATCAACTCATTGGTCTATACAGGGTGTTTCATGAGGAGACTCACATAGCCAAATGGTTAATAGGGGAAATCAAGACGAGTTGATGTATATATATGAAAACATTTTTTGACCCTCCATAACGAAGATACAGGGTATTATGTGAAATTGCTATATAACTTTGATGGTCGATATTTCAGAAATGATTTGTCGTAATCTGCTGAAATTTGGCAGCAACGTACCTCTACTGAAACTATTGAAGATAACATATTATGAAAAAAATATCCAGGTCCGGACTTGGTAAAATTTTATATTTCATTGTTATGTCAAAAAAGTTCTCTTTGTGACCACTTTTCTCAAAAAATTCCATCAGATTCAGAAATATCAGACAAAATGCTATAAGAACTGCTCTTCAATTTACACGGCACACTTTGACCGGTTCAACAAAAAAATATGGAACAAAAACGTTCGAATGAATTTTCAATTTCGACCTGGCTGATAACCCTCAACTTTTAACTGGATTCGTGTAAATTGATTTTTTGTACATTTTTATTGTATAGAAATTGACAGAAGAGATTAGTACTGATTCTTTAATGATTTGACATTTTAGTTTTTGATCGAACTTCTAGATAGATATGATTACTCGTGACTCTATTTTATAAATTTATTATAAAGTGGGCCCTGTTTTCATTTTATGTAACATGACGTTTGTTGATAGGTAAACACTGGTAATCGAAATATTCTTACACTCTAGGTGCCACTTCATATTCCAAATGCTGAACAAGACGAAAATGTTTAATACCATAGAATGTTCCCAGACCCAAGAATACGTTGCAGTAAAATCTTCACGATGATGAACTAGGAATTTTGAATAAATAGCAAATGCATATCCCGAGGCATATCCTTATGTCACTTGCAGAAGTGTATCAATAACAAAAAATGGAGCTAAGTTTATGCGTGATGGCATGACTAATTTGATAAATCACCATAATATGGGCACATGAATCCTCATGTCGTAATTTCATCAGAAGGTACCTACCTAGTACTAGCCTAGTACCTACCTATCAGTTCGAATTATCAACAACCGTCACGTCTCGTCACACAAATGAGAAACCGGACCTACTCGATATCTCACTTCAAGCGACACCCATAAAACAAAGTCAGGAATAATCATATCTATCTGGAATTCCGATAAAAAAATATCGTGTTTTTCTTCTCGTCTATTCTTCTGTCAATTACTATTCAACAAAAATGTAGGAAAAATCAATTCACATGATACCAGTTGAAAGTTGACAGTTATCAGCCAGGTCGAAATTTAAAATTCATTCGAACGATTTTGTTCCATATTATTTTATTGAACCGGACAAAGTGTGCCGTGTAAATTGAAGAACAGTTCTCATAGAATTTTGTCTGATCTTTCTGAATCTGATGGAATTTTTCGAGAAAAGTGGTCACAAAGTGAACTTTTTTGACATAACAATAAAATATAAAGTTTTTCCAAGTCCGGACCTGGATTTTTTTTTCATAATATGTCATCTTGAATAGTTTCAGTAGTGATACGTCGCTGCCAAATTTCAGTAGATTACGACGAATCATTTCTGTACTATCGACGATCAAAGTTATATAGCAATTTCACATAATACCCTGTATCTTCGTTATGGAGCGTCAAAAAATGTTTTCATATATATACATCAACTCGTCTTGATTTCCCCTATCAACCATTCGGCTATGTGAGTCTGCTCATGAAACACCCTGTATATTCGATGTTACGTATACATGCTTCAATGTTAAAGATAATATCGGAATCAATAAGTATCTGAAACTTATCGCATTTCTAAAGAAACAATCTATTGGATAAAAAGCGAGAAAAATCCAAAACATTCATCGCTGAATAAGATGTATACCAACAAATTTCTACAAGAAGCTCCCGATGAAGCATATCTGTTGAAAACGATGAATTATACTTTATATTCAAATTCTTTGTTGTCATCAGAAAGACAGTGTATCTTTATTTCTTATTTCATTGCATCAATGAGTAATGTTCAATTTGATTGCAGAGTTTATTGTATCATGGCTCAGAGGTCTGAAGCTCAGGTTGCCACGCTGGTGGTCCAGTTTCAATTCTCGGTAGGCCCGACATTTTTTTTTTCTGGCTTGTCAGTTATTTTAATTTTTCTTTTTTTGTTACCTTCGGGCATATGGGATAATATGGATAAGAACTTTTTCAACTATTTCAATCGCTCATACTTTCAGGGTAGTTATTTCCAAAAGCTGCGTCAGTAGAAAAAATCTTGTGTGTATTTCGAGCACAAAGTTATTGCCGCTCTCCAAAGATTACCGCGCTCCGCTCCGCATCGCGCGGTAACTTTCTTTGTCGGGCGGCAATCTATCACTTTGCGCTGTAAATACACAAATAGCTATTTCCTACGAGCGTGCGGAAAAGTAACTTTTCCGCACGCTCCGTGATAACTGTTGACACCAAAACCTACCCTTAGCAACAGTCGCTATAAACTGACAGTAGTGGCAGTCAACAAATGAGCATTTCAGAGCAATCTACCTTCCTCCATTGACAATACACTAGTAATTCTCAGCAACAAACTGATCAAGGCATTTCTGTAGGTAGTGGATCAAACACTAACCAATCAAATTAAAATAAGAAACGTCGTTCTTCAAGATGTTGTGGAATCTGCTGTATTACAGTATGCAACAAATACAAATTGCACTTTCAATTTCAATATTTAGCATCGTTAATGTTTTAGTTATTGTTATTCAAATGTTCTTCAAATAAGTATCCTATTATATCGATGAAAAACAATCTCTTTCTTTGTTTTCAGTGCATGAAAATATCGTGCGTAAAAGTAACTTTACCGCACTATTGCTGAAAAGTAACTTTTCCGCACGTTTTTTGTATTGAGAATGAGGATATTTAGGACTAACTAAATAATACATGTAACTATTCTGTCTTATGTGTCATTTTGTGGCATCATCATGAAATATTGTTTATCAAAAACCTTTGATTTTTTATTAATAATATGGATAAAAACACTCGTTGGGAGAACTTTGTACCTAACTCTTGGGGAAAATGTATTTTCCGCCCTTGACAACTTCCCCGAACCCCGCTCCGAACTCCGCTCCGCGTCGTTCGTGCAACTGCAGTCGCGTGCGGAAGAGTACTACTTTCCGCACTTGTTAGTGAAATAACCATTTTTGTTGTGTTGGAGATTGAAGGAAATCAGATTTAATTAATTTATTATTGGAATAATTTGGATGATTCAAACTTCCTATCTGAGACTATTACAATGTTATTGTTATCAGGATCTGTTCAGAAAATAGTTATTTTCCTAACAAGTGCAAGACACTTTGCGCACGTGTTAGGAGCTTCATATCAGATAAAAAGGAATATAAAAAAATATAACTTATTGAAGAATGTAACTATACGACAATCACATATAACAATGAAATATATTAATAGAAAATCACATTTTCCCTACGAGCCCAATATCAGATTACAACGAAAATTAAAAAAAATCAACTTAAATTACAATTTATTGAATAATTTTTAGTTAAACTTGATAGAAATAGCTAAACAACAAACAATTACATATCAATAAAATATAATAATAGAAGATTGAATCATTTGTTCCTAATATTTATATTGAGGTAAAAAACAAATTTAATATCGGGAAGAAAGATTGAAAAGTAAAGGGATAACGGCTTCTTATAGTGCATACAATAGGCTACAGCAACTAAAATTAATACAAATGTTCCATACCAGTGAGATTTTTGGGTAGTTTTATTTATCCGCACGCCGTGCGGATAACACCCATATCCGCACTGAGAGTGCGGAAAAGTATTACTTTGCGCACGGTCGAAGGAAAAAAAAAAAAGGTCACATGAAAATTCTTATTTCTCATTATGTGACTAGTCAAGTCATAGTTATTATTGTCATATACTCTGTCATATCATGAGTTTATCAATCTATCAATGAACTCTCTTGTTCTCAGATATTTGAAGAAATGGTGAGTAAAAAAGTTGTTTGAAACTACCTGAACTTTTATTTCGTGAAGTTGCTTCAAATTCAGGGTCATCCGTTTTTTCGGAAATGACATTACCTATATGATTTTTTCAATGGAACACCCTATATTTTCCGATATGTCGACCGTTTTTTTTTTCCTTATTCCGAAAATATATTTGAGCTGCATATTTGTATAGAAAATAATTGAGTAACTTATGATCACAGTTCACCAAAATTCCACATCTTACATTCAAACTATCCATTCATATTTTTTTGTACTGAGATTGAACGATTTCAAATAATATTACCCACTATGTTCAACTTACATTAGATGATATGAAGTGAAGGTTCATAAAGCTGTATTTTGGTAAACTCATATATATTATTGAAATCAGCAGAGAGGCTCTATCGACATGTCGGAAAATATATAGGGTGTTCCATTGAAAAAATCAGATTTCCTTTCCGGAGAAACGAGTGAGTCTGTATATTAAACAATTTCACAAAATAAAAGTTGGGGTCGTTCCAAAATAACTTCATCATTCAACATTTTTCCATATCTTTGAAACGAAAAGAGTAAAGGGGAGGTTTCTTTTTTAAGAGGCGCACCCTGTAAATACAGGCACGTACTTACAGGTAGAATGAAATCGATGTATTCCATGTATTCCAAAAAGAAGCAGCTGAAAATAAAAAAATTCTCTAGTTTTATTCAAATCAAGTTGGTACTAGTTGCATACTCGATGGTTTTTGTCGTTTTATTGACATCTGGTGACATGAGACCGAAGGTAGGAATGGTATAAGCGAGATCTTGAACCACATACAGTAGGTCGTCCATCTCACCGATTACCCACAGGTATAACTGTGCTGTGAGTGGTACCCACACCCACTGGTGGTACCTACAATAAGTAAACCGCTCAGCTAACAGGTGGCACTACCTGATCTATATATCAAGGTTGGTAGAATTGATGACTCATTTGTAGATACTTATTCAACATAATTCGAGTGGAATTAGATCAAAATCAAACAGTCTCATAAATACGGATAGGAAGAATATTCACTTTCACAGGTACTGAATTTATTGAGATAAGAACAAATATACCTATTGCATTTGTCGTTTAGGAGTATAAAAACTATAGGAATAGGCGAACGAACTGATTTTTTTATATTTCCTGAATATAATCATCACTCAAATACCTTTCATTTCAATTTTATATTTTTTGAGAATTTTTGGGTCGATTTTTAGGTGCTAAAATAATCAATAATGCCACGGTGATTTTCAATTGGATAGAGCGAGTAAAAACTGACGTCATGATTTCGTAAATGGGGGCAGACCATAGCACAGTTGGCATGTGTTGAAATACGATTGGCAAGAATCCTTCAAATTTAGAAAATATGATAAATGAAGACTTGAAAATATTTGAAAAATGGCTCCACCCTAACCTTTTATCGATAAATACTAACAAAACAGAATATATATGATTTTCCACCAAGAAATAAACAAAAAATTCACCTCAACTTTAAAATGAAAAATGAACTCTTAAAACAAACTGACCAGATAAAATATCTTGGAATTTGGTTTGATGACAGGTTGAAGTGAGACAAACATATTGATGTTCTGACAAAAAAAATATCTCCAATTATTGCTGCATTGAAAAGATGTCCCAAACTTGATATTAAAATTGCAAACATGATTTCATACTCTCATATACTGAGTCGTATCAACTATTTAATAAATGTTTGGGGAACTTGTTCAAAGAACAATTTCAATAAAATATCAACATTTTATAGAAAATCGTTAAAAGTATTGTATCGTCTCCCATTTGATACACCAACCAATCAATTATTTGAAATAACAAATACGTATTCTTTAGATGAAATATATAGAATTGAAACTCTTAAAATATCATATAATATCATAAATAAACAATTGAAGTCGAATTTCATGTTGATACGGAATTATGAAATTCATAATCATGAAACAAGACAATATAACTTGTTTCATTCTTGACGCCGCTAGCTCCATTATCGGACAAAAAAGATTCACTCATTCAGCCTTAACTGAATTCAATAAACTACCTGACAATATAAAAAATTGCAGAAATATAGGTTCATTCAAAAATGGATAAAATTGAACATGCCATTTTCTTTTACAAATATTATTCTTTGTTTGTCAATTTACAGTTGTTGATATATTTTGTATAATGATATGTTTACCTATAGGTATATAATTATGTACTTCCTTATACCAGAGCCTATTCTGTCTGGAAGTTATTTGTTCAATAAATAAATGAATAAATGATTAAATGCATATCATCACGAAAAAAAAAACTTCAGAAATATTAGTTATTCAAACATTCATGAATTCTCAATTATGTATTGGTAATATTCCTATTTAGCAATACAAAATCAATTGTGTCAAAATGTTTCATAATGATTTGTGGCTCATTGCTTGTATTACATTTGTGTAAATAGTGAGTATATTAATTCACACTAGAGGACATTTGAAGAGGTGAACGTGGCAACACGGCGCGCACGAATTGTGGGCGTCGTCTTGTCCCTTCTCAGAACAATGTTGTCAAGTTTCCAACATCTACATGATATATTGTTATGGAGTATAAGAAATATTTGGACATGCTGGTTGCTCGAAAAAGTCAAGAATGAACTATAATATCATGGATTCCTCCTATTATGTCTTATTCAACTACAGGACTCTTACATCTTTTCGATATCTTGATTATAAATGGTTGATTGATTGATTAATAGCAGAATGATCAGTCAGGGTTCGAAGCCCAGAACACTGCAGCCTTTGGGCCTATTGTATTCCTGATCATGCTAGCTGTTGACTTAGGTGAACAGGTTCGCTACCTTGATGAGGTTTAGCAGCCTCTTCACCAAATCATTCTTTGGAAAGGCCTCTTGAGAGTTTACTGCTCCCAGAAGGTTGTATCTCCAAAACGCGCTAGTGCTTCGCACTCCAATATTACATGGGTGGCAGTTTCCTCCTCCTCATTGCATAGTCTGCATATGGGTTCGTCTGTATAGATGCCCATTTGATGCATATGCTTCCTCAAGGGGCAGTGACCGGTTATTAGTCCCGTCACTTGTCTGATCTGATTACTGTTTAGGCTCAAAATGTCGTTAGTCACTGTTTTGGACAGTGTTCCAACCATTAGTTTACTGTGTCTTTGTCCTGGGACATTGTTCCAGTATGCCTGATGTATTTCTTGCATCCACCTTGCCAGCCAGCGGCGTATTGAGGTTTTGGGGATACCGAACCAAGGGTTCCGGTCCCATCAACAACACCGCACACCCTATTATAAATGGTTACTTGACAAGCTTGCTTCGTGTGTGGGAATGGGAGATTATATGTGAGCTAATTAATTCAACAATTTCGAACAACGCATACACTCATTATTCACATAAAAAAAGTGTGAGAAGCAAAAATTAATTTAGGTCCCTAACGACACAGTGGAGCAATTGAATGCCAATAATCCATTATGAGTCCAATCACCCATTGTTGATTTTCCGTTTTCTTTGCCGAAATTCACCGTCTATACCCCCTTTGGTTTTTCAGATATACAAGGAGGATCCAAACTTGATACGAGAAGATAGGGGCAGAGAAACAGCAACAATATTTGATAACGTCTTGGAGAAAAATATCATAATTTTACCACTATGTGCCAAAGGCGCCGATCCTGGGGAAGCAAATGAAAATATTTCTAGTAGGAATTATTTTGAAGGCACTAAATTGATAGCTGCTTATTTGTTTCAGTTGTCTTATCTCAAGGAAGAATCATAATAGTCATTAGTTTTCAGTTCGTCTTCATCATAGATATACAGGGTGTTTGGTTTACTGATAGGGGTGATAGATACGATGATTCTGAAAATGTATATACCTACCATTATAGAAGTATTACTTACGCATTTCATAATCGTTTTTTTTTGATATTTTGCCAATTGTTTTTTTTCGATAAAGTTGAAAACGTAGGTATATCATCGATTTGAAACACATAATCAATGGGATCTATATGTGATTTTGATGGTCGTTAATTGAGATCTACAAAACGAACAACGAATTACTGCTCGGATGAGTATCTACATCCTCAGAAATTTCTCTGATGGAGTCGATTCTCTTAAATGATGTAGAGAGTTTATATTGACTGGTGTAGGTTTTATGATACATATGATAATTAATTGAATATGAAAATCTCAGTAAAAAATTGCAGCAATAATTAACAAAAAGACATTATTGAATTATAATCAGGTACCTATCCAATAATAAGTTTCAATTTTCATTCTCAAAATGAGAACCACCGGTTTTAATACAAAGTCGATATCTTATCGTCTCATCTTCTCATCTCTGTAGTGGTTACGCCTAGCCTCATTTCCGCCTTCAGGATTTCAGCTGTCCCATTAACTTTTTGAACAACATGATCTTGATGTCGAATTTCCTCATTTTACACTCATGATAGTCGACGGGGATCAGATCTGGAGATCTAGTTTTTTATAAAAAAAATTTATTACATTCCCGTTGGTTGGACCATAAGTTGAAACTTGTGCAAAGTTAGGGAAGCATAGATACACAAACATCCATGGCCTAACTGGAGCTCAAACCCATTCCTCGGTGGGAGTTCCCTTACGAAACTCTGTGCGCCTATGGGCTCTCCACCAACGGGTCGTAATATTGATTCAGTTTGTCCTGTCAATCTTCAAGCAAAAATAATAATTATCATTATACAGGGTGTTTCATGAGGAGACTCACATAGCCAAATGGTTAATAAGGGAAATCATTTTTTGACCCTCCATAATGAAGATACAGGGTATTATGTAAAATTGTTATATAACTTTGATAGCCGATATTACAGAAATGATTCATCGTAATCTGCTGAAATTTGGCAGCGACGTATCTCTACTGAAACTATTCAAGATAACATATTAGGAAAGAAAATATCCAGTTCCGGACTTGGGAAAATTTCATGTTTCATTGTTATGTCAAAAAAGTTCACTTTGTGACCACTTTTCTCGAAAAATTCCATCAGATTCAGAAAGATCAGACAAATTGCTATAAGAACTGCTCTTCAATTTACACGGCACACTTTGACCGGTTCAATAAAAAAGTATGGAACAAAAACGCTCGAATGAATTTTCAATTTTAACCTGGCTGATAACTTATATCTGTCAACTAGATTCGTGTAAATTGATTTTGTTGTACATTTTCATGGGATAGAAATTGACAGAAGAGATGAGTTCTGATTTTTTTTTGATTTGACATGTTAGTTTTTGACCGAACTTCTAGATGGATATGATTACTTGTGACTCTATATTATAAATTTGTTATAAAGTAGGACCTGATTTTATTTTATGTAACGTGGCGTTTGTTGATATAGGTAAACACTGGTAATCGAAATATTTTTGCACCTAGGTGCCACTTCATATTTCAAATGTTGAACAAGACGAAAATCCAAATGCTGTGCTATGTTTAATATCATAGAATATTTCCAGACCCAAGAATACGTTGCAGTAAAACCTTCACGAGGATGAACATTAGGAATTTTGAATACATAGCAAATGCATCCTTTTACCACTTGCAGAAATGTATCAATAACAAAAAATGGAGCTGAGGTTATGCGTGATGGCATAACTAATTTGATGAATCTCCATATAATATGGGCACATGAATCCTCATGTCGTAATTTCATCAGTTGGTACCTACCTAGTATACCTACCTATCAGTTCGGATTATCAACAAATATCTCATCTCGTCACACATATGAAAAACAGGGCCTACCAGATATCTTATCATTACTTCAATTGAAACCCATAAAACAAAGTCAGGAATAATAATATCTATCTTGAATTCCGATAAAAAAATATCGTGTTTTTTCTTCTCATATATTCTTCTGTCAATTACTATTCAACAAAAATGTAGCAAAATCAATTCACATGATACCAGTTGGAAGTTGACAGTTATCAGCCAAGTCGAAATTTAAAATTCATTCGAACGATTTTGTTTCAGACTTTTTTATTGAACCGGTCAAAGTGTGCCGTGTGAATTGAAGAGCAGTTCTTATAGCATTTTGTCTGATCTTTCTGAATCTGATGGAATTTTTCTAGAAAAGTGGTCACAAAGTGAACTTTTTTGACATAACAATGAAACATGAAATTTTCCCAAGTCCGGACCTGGATATTTTTCTTCATAATATGTTATCTTGCATAGTTTCAGTAGAGATACGTCGCTGCCGAATTTCAGCAGATTACGCGGTGAATCATTTCCTAAATATCGGCCATCAAAGTTATGTAACAATTTCACATAATACCCTGTATCTTCGTTATGGAGGGTCAAAAAATGTTTTCATATATATACATCAACTCGTCTTGATTTCCCCTATTAACCATTTGGCTATGTGAGTCTTCTCATGAAACACCCTGTATAATAGGAAATCTTTTACGGTTATTCGAGAATTGGCAAGGCATCAGTCGTTCTGGTAACTGTCTATCCTCTCACATTCAAATGCAGTCAACTCAAAATGACAGAAATTATCATTATACATTATACATTAGCAATAATATACAATTTTCAACATAACATTTTTTGTAAACGTTTAGGTATAGGCAGGTATAACAGGAAGAGTTTGAATCCATTATTCGTTGCTGAGATATGGCCGACAGCCGTTTGTAGTTGTTCACCCTGTACATATATATAGGTATTCATTTTATTCGCTTATGAAGTAGAAGTTGAATATTGAAATAATTCTGCTAAGTCACAATTTTTTTCTTCACATGTAGATTCCATTACGTATATATTCCATATCGATGAGATACGTAAGTAGTACATGTAGATTCAACTTCATCCGAAAAAAATATGAAATTAGATAAAATTCTTAACAGAACTTTTATCATAACTCATATTGACATATCAACCAATTTAGTCAAAATTCAGACATGGGGTGATACAAAATTCGATGTAAATATGTCAAGCACATATTGTTGGTATCAAAATAATACCTTTTTTTATAAACATATGTGTCCTAAAATGCACCCCCTCCAAGTTACATCCACTGTAAGTTGGCTAAAGAGAAAGAATATCTGACATTATGATCATGATAACGGAATCAAGTGCAAGTATTCTGAGATTCTAGGAATTTAATGAGGATTTCATAGGATTTCATGATGATTTCATGTGATTTCATGATTTCATGGGATTTCATGATGATTTCATGATAATTTCATTGATTTCATGAGATTTTATATGATTTCATGGCGATAACATGATAACATGACGAGTTCAGGAGATTCCATATGATTTAATGTTGATTACATGATGATTACATGATGATAACATGAAATAGGGTATATCTGTGCGGGAGTTCTGAAATGGAATATTGATTTGTTTCATAGCAAATATTAATGAGAATCACATTATACCATTGATAGTCATTATTATGAAAACTAATATTCGATTATATCTATTCGACATTCAAATCATTGATAATATTTCAACCAACAGCCGAATATAATGACGTTATAATATTTTATCTACTCACTGCATAGAAAGTTAGCGTTGGCTCCCTCATTTGAGGATACAAACCTGTCAATTTACTCATGCACACGGAAAAAAAAATATTACCTCCCGTGGGAGGTAAAATGAATTGGCTTCAGCATGCTTTCTTGGTAGATATATACACATAAGATTTGTGCTACCCAAGTACCTAAATAACAATTTGATCTTTCAATGATCTCATACACTACCTCATATAACACTCAATCGAAACTTTAAATGAAATGCAATAATTACATCACAATAAACAAATTCAATGTGACAGAAGTGTCACATGTGAAACCTTAGATCATGTAACACATTGATTTGGATCGAGACTCGAGAGATAGACCGCTTGAAGCACAATTCTGAGAATAACGCTCTCAAATATATGTGTTCGTGGATGAAATCATATACAGGGTGATTCACATAAGAACCGACATAGAGCAGGGGCATGTAGGGGGTCCCAAAATATGGCAATTTAACGCAACTTACCAAGTTGCTTCCCTAAGGAGATATAGGCTTTGAAAGTGAAGTTATAAATTTTGAAAAAAATCAATATCTTCGTTATTCTTGAACTTAAAGCAACCAAATTTGTTACACTTTGTGGATGTATTCAGGGCGTTACTTGACAGTAACTAGAGTTTAATTGAAATTTTTAAAGGGAGTATACCGGGTGGCGCACCATCAATATTCAACATTATTTTGTTAACCCTTGATGGATTTCAAAAATCTTTGCTTTGTTTTGTGGACAATTCAATTCTAAAACTTTTTTTACTCTAGTAATTTTTCGAAAAACCTCATCATTTTCATCAAAAACTCGAATAACTGAAAACGCGCGCTCTAGATGTGTTATTTAAAATCATCGAAAATTCAAAAGTTGGCTATGAAAATAAAAGTCAAACTTGACAATGAGGCAAGTGAGTTGTTCAATTAAGTAATTGTTGTTTGAGTGTTTTTAAAATGAACGGGAAGTTTTCTTTTAACGTGCAAGTTGACATGCTGTTAGTGCTATGCCTATAACTCCTTAGGGAAGTAACTTGGTATAGAGGTAAGTTGCGTTATATTGCCATATTTTGGGACCCCTTACATGCCCCTGCCCTATGTCGGTTGTTATGTGAATCACCCTGTATATTTCCTCCCATGTGTGTTTAATGCCCTCCGCTACGCGTCGTGCATCAAACTTCACACGTGGGAGGAAATGGATACCTTTGCTCCCTTGATATATAAACAGCTATATTTCGTAACAGCCCTTCAATTGTTTTTTCTAAGAAATGAAGTTTGCTCTAATCTTAATTGACGTCATTAAAGTTATTGGAGAATATCGATGATATTCAGGATGATCATAACAAAGTTCGGCAAAGGAAGC